ATTTGACACGTGAAAATTAGATTAGATTTTGATTAAATTCGTATTATTTAAAAAACCTTAAGATTTAGGTATCATAAACCTTATTAAAACAGACACTTATTTTGTTCAGCGAATGCAATAATATACAGGACATTCCATTTAAAAAAACGCAACTTTGATACCTTTAGAGCTTTTGGGACACCCTCTACATTACAAAAATATTTTTAAAATGTGCGCTCCGTAGGCGTCGGACAATTCATAAAATAATACTTTTTAAAATCAAACGGTTTAGCCGCAAACTTCCGTGCCGTATAGCGTGAATAACCTTGTATATATGATAATAATATAATATATCTAATAATAATAGTGTGACCAACATTTTTTTGTCCAAACACCATTTGTGAACTGTGACATGTGTTTTGTATTGTTTTTGTCCTGACGTGGAATCGTGTCTTCTTAATTATCTAATATCGATTTGATAAAGGTTCCAATGACATAGTTGTAGAAGCTAAAGAATTAGCATCTTTCCTAGATGTAGAACCAATATTTAAGAGTCTGGAAACTGTAAGAACGCGAAAAATAAAAAGACAATTTGATTACGAAGGCATAGATGAACCAATAGAAAGTGAAGAATTAAAGTTTAAAGTTAAATGTTTTTATGAACATTGCAATTTCATCTGTAAATGACAGATTCAAACTTCTGTCCTCTCACTCGGATGCGCTTCAATTTTTGTGGGACATTGCTGATTTTAATTAGTATTCTGAGCAAGAGCAATTTAAAGTTTGAAATAAACTTGAAGAAGGTTAGCTGATAACAATCGGAATGAGAAAGACATAAACGGGGTCGAACTTTTGCAAAAGTGCAGTTCCTACATCGTTTCAATCAAAGTGGTTTATCTAATTAGATCATAGAAAATAATTTAACTCATTCGTTCCCAAATGGTACCATTGCTATACGTATACTACTAACCATACCGATTTCTGTAGCAACTGCGGAGAGATCATTTCCCAAGCTAAAAATAATAAAAAATCGGTACGGTCTACAATGAGTCATGAGCGCCAGGAAAATATTTCCATAATATTTATTGAATTTATTTAATACAACAGCTTGATATTGAATTGATATTTGCGACAAATAAATCCAGAAAACCGAGATCCAGAGATCCGTCTTGGGACATCCTGTGTATATCGGGACACCTTCTGTATATAAACTATATTAACTTATCTTATAGCACACGGTATTTAGCACTTTTGGAACTGTTCATAAAGTTCCCAATCAAAACACTGCCAGTGTGCATAGTGTGCATAGGATGATTCCTGAGGCATTTAGCAGTTAACCACTCAATAGGGAGATCCCTGTCCGTGCAACCCACTGTACGGTGGAGCCATCGGGGTTAGTCGGTCACTCTGCAGGCCAGGGTTGTCCGGGTGGCAGTACCAATGTGCAGCAGCATTTTCGGAGACCGTTTGCCGGACATTCCCGACGATCTGGCCATGAGGACTTCCCCCCGGCAAGGACTCGTTACTGGACACGCTGCTGTCCTCGCCATCCGATGAGCGATTGGGCGATCGGCGATTACCCGGATGAGCCTTCATGTGCTTCCTGAGGGAAGACGGGTGTGTGTACGCCTTATCACAGCCAGGTTCGCCACAATTGTACGGTTTTTCCGATGTGTGTACATGCGAATGCTTCTTCCTATCGGAACTATTAGCAAATCTCCTATCACAGCCTTCGAACTCGCATTTGAACGGTTTTTCGCCTGCGAACAAAGAAATGCATTACATTTGAGCAATTCCTCAGCAGGGTTTTAATGTCTTTCATGCAAAAGCACTAAATTACAATCAATTTGCGAAAGAACAGAAAAGTTGCAAGGTGCAGAAATCCCAGCTGCGCCCTGAACCAAAAACAACCTGGCAAATGAATGTTTGGTAAAATGTAAACCAACAAGTGGTAAATTAGACACACCTAATGTAGTACACAAAGTAGACTGTTTGGACTGTCTCTTGAGGAAAAATAGCGAAAATGGAACAACATTAGCACAACACGCACACCGAATGTTGCATAAGTTCGAGTTGGACAACGCAAAAATGATTCAAACCAGAAGTCGAAAATTTTAGATTAATGTGCGTCTTCAGAATCGCACTTATTTGTTGGCTCGGATTTAGAGGACCGGTTAAGTTCGGAAATTTTAGTTTTTATTGCGAGATTGGGCGTTAAATTGCGTAGGTTTTTTATGCCAAATATCATTATAAAAATGTTTCTGGTTTTCACGCAAAACTCGAAAATTCAAGATTAGTGCGTGTTTTCTGAACCGCACTTATTCGTTGGCTCGTATTTACAACACCTGTTGAGTTACGCAATTTTTGTTTTTATTGCGAGATTGAGCGTTAAATTGTGTAGTTTTTTTATGCCAAATATCATTATAAAAATGTTTCTGGTTTTCACGCAAAGCTCGAAAATTCAAGATTAGTGTGCGTCTTCAGAACCGCACTTATCCGTTGGCTCGTATATACAACACCGGTTGAGTTACGAAATTCTTGTTTTCATTGCGAGATTGAGCGTTAAATTGCGTAGTTTTTTGATGCCAAATATCATTATAAAAATGTTTCTGGTTTTCACCTAAAATTCGAAAATTCAAGATTAGTGCGCGTCTTCAGAACCGCACTTATTCGTTGGCTCATATATACAACACCGGTTGAGTTACGAAATTCTTGTTTTCATTGCGAGATTGGGCGTTAAATTGCGTAGTTTCTTATGCCAAATATGATTATAAAAATGTTTCTGGTTTTCACGCAAAACTCGAAAATTCAAGATTAGTGTGCGTCTTCAGAACCGCACTTATTCGTTGGCTCGTATATACAACACCGGTTGAGTTACGAAATTCTTGTTTTCATTGCGAGATTGAGCGTTAAATTGCGTAGTTTTTTTATGCCAAATATCATTATAACAATGTTTCTGGTTTTCACGCAAAACTCGAAAATTCAAGATTAGTGCGCGTCTTCGGAACCGCACTTATTCGTTGGCTCGCATTTAGAGAACCGGTTGAGTTACGAAATTCTAGTTTTCATTGCGAGATTGAGC